CGAGAGCAGATGACAACATGGCACGTAAATTATTTGAATTTGCAATATTGAAGTGACATTAAATTTGCAGAATGTAAACAATGAATGGGGAAAATAAGTCACTGTCTTCACTTTTGTGTTTCTCACAAAGTTTGAGGCGGTGGTGCCAAACTGAGCAAAACGTTTTAAGTATGAAAATTATTTTCTTGCATACCTAGCATGTAGGTTCATTAATTTTGCGTCGATTTATATTATTTACGTCGTTTGAGGTTATTAATTTTACTTTCTGTGTTTTTTTGTATCTTCAATAAAAAAAATAATTTTAACCATGCTAACACAAACAAACTAGCTCAAAATTAACTGAAAGGAAAACAACGCAAAAATACATGACAATACCGCATTATGTTGAATTCCCGAAAGAGACAAATTTCGATGGGCGACGTTACAAGAGATTCTTAAACTACTGAGAAAAACTCAATTATTATGCGTCTTAGCGACTATTTTGCATGTGGAGTTAAGAATTGTTAATGCCTAAAACACGATTTAGCAGCAAACAGCATCGGGTAATCTCATTTTCGTGCATAAATAAGTGGTTTTGTAAAACCGAATTTCACAATTTTGTGAGTTTTTTAGCTTAATTTATGAGCCATCCAGGATTTTGTTCTCTGAAAGTGCGTAATTTGAAGTGTTCTTTAAGGTGAACAAAAAAAAATTAAAAAATTCGGAGGGACTCAACTGGAAAATATAGAGAAACAAAATAGAGACCACCTTTACATTTGCAGTTCTAGAAAGACCGGTTTTGGTGTATTTTCAGGAGAAATCTCTGGTTTCTGATCGAGTCTCTGTTGGTTCTGTTTCTGGCATTTTTGACAAAAACCCTGCTCAATATTCGAGCTACATTTGCAATGGTTTCAAATAAGTATAACTATTCAAACTGGCGGAACAAATAGAGCAAACTTTTGTCTAAATTCGAGCCAAAATTAGAGTCTCTTGTTGCATCTATCTATCTATCAAGTTTGAACTTGATCAAGATTGCAAATTTTTTTGTCTAACTTAGGTTCTTATTCTAGAATAGACGTTCTTTTCCATCGAGCTACTAACTCTTAATTTGGAGTTTTTCAAAAAGTGTCTTCTTGATGGATTCACCGCAAAGGGACTCTGAGTCAAATTGTAAAAGCTCCATCTGCCCTATGAGCGGTGTTTAATTTTTTTCAAAAAACCTGCTCAGTACAATAATCTGAAATCAGTTTGGGATGATTTTCAAAAATCCACTTATTAATTAATTAATCGGGAACCAAATTCAGTTCTAGATCCCATCTATTATTTCAGAGTTGAGCTCTTCGGTTTTCTAAAGCTTTGATTATTTCTAAGCCTTCACACTAATTAAACCTCTAATTTAACCTTAATTAAAACCGCACATTTAGTGCGTACATTCTGTCCCAAGCCATTTGGCAGTGACGTCACGATTTGAGATTTACTGATGTCCAGACGCCCACTGGTGGCTTAATTATAAATTACGCTTAGCGAGTGACATTGACATTTGTTTTGTTTACTAGTCGTGGTCATTGTTGAGGCGTCGCTCGATACGGGTATTTGTTTACGTATCGCAGCGCCCCCTTAGGTCGATAGTGAAATTTGCGATTAGTTCGAAAATTTTTCTTTTATTTTGCGCGGTTGCTAGCTGGAGCGTGGTGGTGTTTTTACCAGTAATACAGGGTAAATTTTGAAACAGATATTCTCTGTGAACATTAAAAAAGTTCACTCCTTGTGTAAGTTTTGTGTAAAATTTCATAAATATATAAATAACATAAATGTTATTTTTATTCCCTTGTTGGTTCTCTCTTCATTATAGGAAGTGTTTTTTTTTTATTTTTCCAATTCTTACTTATTAAGAAAAACATTCGATTTCTTTTGAAATATTGAAAAAGTCCATAAAATTTGTACCTACATTATGCCAACTAGGAACTTTTTTATAAGTTTGTTGCCGGTTGCTCCGTTTCGAACAAGTATATGTTAACTTATCTTGAAATACTAGCACAATTAATTATTTTATCTTTGAATCGCCATGTTTGTAGTTTAGACAAATACAGGGTTATTCACGCTATACGGCACGGACGTTTACGGCTAGCCCGTTTGTTTTTTGCAAAGTATTATTTGATGAATCCACAGACGCCTGTCGGGTGCACATTTTAAAAATATTTTTGTAATGTACAGAG